TTGAAGTTGTGGATAATTGGAAATTTTGCCTGCCTAAATTACTTAAATATTTTTTGGTCATATCTTTTTTAACTATTGCTGTAATCTACTTAATATTGTCATAAGAAACAGCACATTTTAAATGATCGTATTGTTAGTTTTTAATTTAGGGGTTATGTGCAAAGGAAAATGACATTTGGCACCAAAGAAAAACATGAATAATCAAAAGTATCCACTTATATTTTGGAGTTTAGCTGTATAATAATTCAGCCTTGCAGTGAGACATACTCTCTTCAGTGTGAAGCTGATATATGCAGTACTTCTCTTACCTTCTGTTTTATTTCTTCCATATGGGATTGCTTGTACTGTAACGTCAAGTATATTAATTGTTAGAATTTTTAAATATTGTATTAATACTGTACATTTAATTTTGTATTGCCACAAATATCCTGAACTCTTATGTTTAGTTGGTTGCAGCTTTATAACTGCTGACCTTCCTAATATACCAGTGATAAGAGGCAGCAAAAGTGATACAGTGCAGGAATTTCATTGTTACTCACATAGTGACTTCGACCACAAGGGTATCAGACAAGGATCTTAAGAGACAAGCAGGCCTTGGAACTAGAGTTGACTGAATATCACCAAATGATTGTTTGAGGAAGATTGCGCAAGAAAAGATAACATTCTGCAGCCTGAATTCAGTGGGGCATAATGACTGATGTGGATGAAATTAACAGCCACTACTTGTAGTTTGGAGAAAGCAGACTTGGTCATGTAGTGGAAAGTGAATCCATGCCCCTCTGGTGCCAGGAGTGTGATGCAGTACAGTACTGTAATAAGTTTATCAAATACTTCTCTAACTATATTCTGCTTGAACATGGCAAAATTGTTTTCCCAACCCGCAGATAAAGGTGGATTCTAATATTAGTGTAGCACAGGGAGGACTCCTTTGATGAATGAGAGAGGGCAACCTGATGGAGGGAGAGGTAGTAAACATAATGGACTGACTAGGGGTGGTACAGTGTAAAGGAACAACAGGGCAACAAAAGTTGTTCATTAGGGATCATATAGCATGAATCATCTCTCAGACCTGGTCATCTGCCTTTGAGTCCTTAGAACATGATAGTAAATAAAGCCATATTCATTTTGGTATATTCCAAATATTTCAGCAGTGGAGTTGAGGCATACCACATATCAACATGATTGGGCTACTTGCACTCCCAGGGAGCTTCCAGTACTGGAGTGCCTAAGCCAGTGTTTACCTGGAGAGAGTTGGGGGATCAATGCCCCCGTGGCCCGGTCTGTGACCAAGCCTTATGGTGGATCAGGGCCTGATCAACCAGGCTGGCTGCGCGCAATCCAACGTACGAGCCACAGCCCGGCTGGTCAGGTACCGACTTCAGGTTCTTGTCCAGTGCCTGCTTGAAAACAGCCAGGGATCTATTGGTAATCCCCCTTATGTATGCTGGGAGGCAGTTGAACAGTCTTGGGCCTCTGGCACTTATTGTGTTGTCTCTTAACGTGCTAGTGACACCCCTGCTTTTCGTTGGGGGGATGTTGCATCGTCTGCCGAGTCCTTTGCTTTCGTAGAGAGTGATTTTCGTGTGCAAGTTTGGTACTAGTCCCTCTAGGATTTTCCAGGTGTATATAATCCCACCTGCATTCCAGGGAGTACAGGTTCAGGAACTTCAAGCGTTGCCAGTAATTGAGGTGTTTTATCTCCGTTATGTGTGCCATGAAGGTTCTCTGTACATTTTCTAGGTCAGCAGTTTCACCTGCCTTGAAAGGTGCTGTTGGTGTGCAGCAATATTCCAGCCTAGATAGAACAAGCGACCTGAAGAGTCATCATTGGCTTGGCATCCCTAGTTTTGAAGGTTCTCATTATCCATCCTGTCATTTTTCTAGCAGATGCAATTGATACAATGTTATGGTCCTTGAAGGTGAGATCCTCCGACATGATCACTCCTAGGTCTTTGACGTTAGTTTGACGCTAGTTTTTCGCTTCAGCCAGAACACCTCATCCAACAAAAGGAATCTTATTTGTGACCTCTGTAGTGGATGGAGCTAGTCTTACATGAGAGGTAACAGCTGATACATCTAGCTGTCTTCAACTAGAGCAGGAAGGGAGGTCTTATTCAGCATTCCTGTCCAGTGGTATCAGGACTGAAATTCATTAAGTTTTGCCAATATTTGTTTTTCCCTTATTCATTATAGTATGTGCATTTATTACACTAATGTTTTGAATGTGAACTTTTTTGAATATTTTTTATATTGTTGATAGAGAAGAGTCTGATCATTATGGCATGCACACAGGTAGTGTTGGTGACAAGCTTGTGATCACACAAAGGGAGAACTTTGCTGACAATTCACTGGTTCTGGGACCCAGGTATCAAGCAGTAGATTTCAAGTTGTCTTCGGCTCTTCACTTGCATAAAAATATTTCAGGTAAAAGGAAAAATCTGTATTGTGAATGTTATTGTATGTTTATTTTGCCATTTGCATTGTTTATCTTAGTATTTTTATGTTTATTGTTGTTTTTGTAAACTTAAGTTTACCACTGTTTATGTGCACGTTTATGCAAGTTTCAGTTTACCAGTGTTATGTGCAAGGTATAAGTGCTGTGATATACTGTATTCGGGTCTCTGGTTCTTTGGTTCTCATAATCTTTAAACATTTGTGAATACTTTATTAAGTATGTATTAACCTTTAAAGGTTTTTGTATACACTACATACAGTATTGAAGTCCACTGTTAATAATGTCAGTGAGCTCAACACACAAGTTTGGTGATATGAGTTTAAATACATTAGTACATACATTTCTTTTTAAATAATGATCACAACATTCTACCTCCCTGCCAGTCAGGACTCAGGCTCAAAAAGAAAGCAAATAACTTTTTTTTTTTTAACACTGACAGTCTCCCAAAGAAGAAAACACTTTCTCTGTCTCTCATTCAATCAGTCTTGTCAGAAAAGCACCAACATCACAGTTCAGATGACCCTCCAGACTGCAACTTCCCCACCCCTCCTTCAGAGTGCAGGTATAGCACTTCCACCTCCAGGACTCGAGTCTGGCTAACTGTTCTTCCCGAATTCCTTCATAAGTGTTTTTTTCTCTCACTCCAGCAGCATGTCCCGTAGCTCGATCGCTAGTGCACTCAGCTCACACACTGAGGTCCAGAGTTTGAATCTCCAGCACAGCTGGAAAACATTAGGATGCATTTCCATGAGACATCTGTTGTCTATGTTCATCCATCAGTATGAAATAGGTACCTGGTTATTAGTCGACTGGTGTGGGTCACACCCCAGGACAAAATTGACCTAATTTGCCTGAAATGCTCTGCATAACAATTGACTTTCTATATAGTAGTATGTCATTGATGTCAGCTAGGCCTGTATACCTTGTACATGTAGAAATAAAGATAATAATAATAATGAACCACTTACCTCCACCCACTCCTCTCTCACACAAGCCTGTTGGGTGTCCAAACCTCTGGCATTCAACTTGATAAAAATTAATACAGTATCTACTTGGATTGTTTATTATTCTGCAAAAGACATTTAAAACTATCAACCAAAACAGCAACTATTTTTTACTCCTACTTCTTCATTGATGCTTTGGGTTGGGGGTGGGTGGGGGTTCCCCAAACAGCAGTCACACTTCTTGTGTGTTTGTTGAAAGATACAATTATTTTACATTTCAGGGCATTTAGGGAAAGACCTGGCTTCTCCATGTGCTCTGACTTTTGTGATGTTCTCTGGCACATATTCCATGGTGTCAAAGTCTAGATGTTGAACTTGTTGAATTTTGGATTGGATCTATAAAATAAACCCAGTTAAATTTTTTTTTTTTTTTTTTCAACAAGTCAGCCGTCTCCCACCGAGGCAGGGTGACCCAAAAAAGAAAGAAAATCCCCAAAAAGAAAATACTTTCATCATCATTCAACACTTTCACCACACTCACACATTATCACTGTTTTTGCAGAGGTGATCAGAATACAACAGTTTAGAAGCATACACATATAAAGATGCACAACATATCCCTCCAAACTGCCAATATCCCAAACCCCTCCTTTAAAGTGCAGGCATTGTACTTCCCATTTCCAGGACTCAAGTCCGACTATACGAAAATAACTGGTTTCCCTGAATTCCTTCACTAAATATTACCCTGCTCACACTCCAACAGATCGTCAGGTCCCAAGTACCATTCGTCTCCATTCACTCCTATCTAACACACTCACGCACGCTTGCTGGAAGTCCAAGCCCCTTGCCCACAAAACCTCCTTTACCCCCTCTCTCCAACCCTTTCGAGGATGACCCCTACCCCGCCTTCCTTCCCCTATAGATTTATACGCTTTCCATGTCATTCTACTTTGATCCATTCTCTCTAAATGACCAAACCACCTTAACAACCCCTCTTCTGCCCTCTGACTAATACTTTTATTAACTTGTATAAATAAAAATTACATAGTTCTTAACAAATTTGCATAGCACCAATATAAGCCCACTGAAATATACAAAGTGTGCATTTAAAAAAATTGCTATAGTACATTTGATAAAAGGACTTGAGGAAAAGGTGAAGGTGTAAGGTAAAGCAAAAGTAAAGATTTATGGTGAATATGATTCAAACAGATGAAAGTGCACCTTTATCATCCATTGATATAATATTGTAGCACCTTCCTGACATTTGTATTCTTCATACTGCACTGCTCCTAGACATCTTTTTTAATATAAATTCATGAAATTTATTTCTTTTTTAACACTAGTTATCTCCCACTGAGGTAGGGTGACTTGACAAAGATTTTCACCCTCACTCATTTAGTCACTTTCTTGCAGGAAATGTGCTGACATCACATTTCAGATGACCTTCCAAACTGTAGTATCCCCACCCCTCCTTAAGAGTGCAGGCATTGTGTTTATCACCTCCAGGGCTGAAGTCTAGCTAATTCGTTTTCCTGAATCCTTTCATAAATGTTACCCTGCTCTCCAACAGCATATGAAATGAAAAAAAAAAAATGCCTTCGCTCCTATCTTACACACACAAGCCTGTTGGATGTCCAAGACTCTACAGTTATGGGATGACTCCGACCCCTCCTTCCCTTCACTCCAGATTTATACACTCTTCAAGTAATCCTATTTTGCTTTATCCTCTCTAAATATCCAAACCACTTCAATAACCTCTCCTCAGCACTCTGATTAATAAATAATAAAAATTCACATTACCATATTTTTTTTTTTTTCAACAAACCGGCTGTATCCCACCAAGGCAGAGTGGCCCAAAAAGAAAAACGAAAGTTTCTGTTTTTAAATTTAGTAATTTATACAAGAGAAGGGGTTACTAGCCCCTTGCCCTCGGCATTTTAGTCACCTCTTACAACACGCATAGCTTACGGAGGAAGAATTCTATTCCACTTCCCCATGGAGATAAGAGGAAATAAACAAGACCAAGAACTTGAAAGAAAATAGCAGAAAACCCAGAGGGGTGTGTATATATATGCTTGTATATGTATGTGTAGTGTGACCTAAGTGTAAGTAGAAGTAGCAAGACATACCTGAAATCTTGCATGTTTATGAGACAGAAAAAAGGACACCAGCAATCCTACCATCATGTAAAACAATTACAGGCTTTCGTTTTATACTCACTTGGCAGGACAGTAGTACCTCCCTGGGCGGTTGCTGTTTACCAACCTACTACCTAAATTACCATGGATGTAGATAAATAACCCACACTTAGGAGAGGGAAGCTTATGACATTACAGTCCGACTTGGACCATTGACAAGTTGGACGGAAATGTCATCAGAAGTTTCTCTCCCTCTTAAGTGCAGGTTATTTGGATACTCTGTATAGTACTTTTGGTAACCCCATACATTTCTAATCTCCAAGCCTTGAATTCTCTTCATAATGATCACACCACACATTGCTCTGAAATATGGTATGTCCACTGCCTTCAGTCTCCTCCTGAGGGTAGTGCTGTAAGATTTGTGATAGACATACATTGTAAACTAGTTTCTGTATTACTGAAGTACAAGTTTTCTGAAATAAGCCCAGACTCTTATTATATCACTGAGTCCTTCATATTTTACAGTATTTATTTCAAAGTAAAATAAACTTTAAACTCTTGCAAGTCATCTGAATGTTATTGAATGCCATACACATACTAAGAGTACAGATCATGGATTATTACATTCTTTATCTCCTACTGTAAACACATTTGCCAGTACTCACTTTGAAGATATTCTTCACCTTGGAGCTTCTCTCTCATATTAACCTTGCTGTTTTGCAAATTAGATGCTCTTGCTAATATTTAGCTTTATAAAATAATCTGGTAGACTGACAACAAGCTCTGATTGTCTTAAGTTTGAAATAGATACAATGCTATACAGTACTCTACAGCAGGGCCCCACTTTATGGCATTTTGCCTTATGGCGTTCCGCTAATACGGACATTTCGAATTATGACCAAAATTCGTTTTACGGCTCCCCCACCTGACTTTCTAATACGGTCACAGCGCCCCACCGGGTTTGTTCATGTTGTCTGTGAGTCCCGTGAGCACTAGGCCACTCCATTATGTCTAAAAACTTTCCAGAATTTCAAATGTTTTAGGAAAGGTATGGGTGTGTAGACCAAGTGTTTACAGTGAAACACATAGGCGAACAGTATTTGGATAAGGGTAAAGAGGGTTTTGTGGCATTTATGGATTTGGAAAAGGCATATGACATGGTGGATAGGGGGGCAATGTGGCAGATGTTGCAAATGTATGGAATAGGAGGTAGGTTGCTAAAAGCAGTGAAAAGTTTTTACGAGGATAGTGAGGTTCAGGTTAGAGTATGTAGGCAAGAGGGGGATTATTTCCCAGTTTAAGTAGGCCTTAGACAGGGATGTGTAATGTCACCATGGTGGTTCAGTATATTTATAGATGGAGTAGTAAGAGAAGTGACTTCTTGGGTGTTAGCAAGAGGTGTGCGGTTAAAGGATGAAGAGTCTAACACAAAGTGGGAATTGTTACATTTGCTCTTTGCTGATGACACTGTGCTTTTGGGAGATTCTGAAGAGAAGTTGCAGAGGTTGGTTGATGAGTTTGGCAGGATATGTAAAAGAAGGAAGTTAAAAGTGAATACAGTAGGGCCCCACTTATATGGCAGGTTAGGTTCCAAGCTACTGCCGTAAAGCGGAAATCGCTGTAAAGTGGAACACCCTTTTTTTCCCCTTATAAATGCATACAAATACTAGATAACAAGTTTACACTAACATATATTAAGTTAGGAATAGAGCTAGGCATCAAAAAACAATAAAAAAGTACAATACACACTTAGTGCACTCATTACTTGCCTTAAAATATTTGTAGTCTTAATCTAGGGTGAGACAAGCAAAATGAGCTTGAAACATAAACAGATATGAATGAATGTATAAATAATTTTCTAAAAAAAGCCCAATGCCTCTACAAAAA